ATTTTATTATTGTTACTTTTATCATTATTAGTTTCTTCTTTTCTGTCCTATTAAACTGTTTTTCTCTCAATCCACGAGTTTTACCTTTTTTCTTCCGATTCTCTCCCCCATCCCACTGGGTAGGGGGGAAGTGAGTGAGTGGCTGCGTGGTGCTTAGTTACCGGCTGGGGTTAAACCACAACAGATTTTTAATCCAATTTAAAACTAAACTGGTAGGCTCGGATGGGGCAATTCAAAGCCTTGCTCTCTGACTATGTGGATATTGGGATTTGAGGTTCTGTTTCAGAGTCATCTCCAAACACGAAAAAGATGCAGTGGAAGAGTGAGTTAAACTTCTTCCTATTTATGAGCTGTTTGGAGACATCTTACCAAACCTTCAGCTGTAGCTAATATTGAATATCACCTATACATGTTCAGGAAGCTGTGAATACTAAATTGAAAACTGTCTTGGTTTGAATGGCCATATGAGATAAATGAATGCTATCATTTCCTTGTTGAAAGAAATGCATAATTAATGCAGAGCAATGTGGAAATTATATGGTATACATCTGAAAATTGTTTGAGAAAAATATTGGAGCAATCAAGCCAAGAAAATGTTTTCCAAGTACTCACAACAGTAAAGACGAATGCTTTATCTTTTACTTGAAGCAAATATCTGCTGTCAGGAGGAAAGCTGACTCAAATATACAGTGTGAAAGCTTCGGAGGCAATCTTGCTTCCAGGCATATTGCAAGCTTGGAGTGATGATGTCAAAGGGATATAACACAGCTAATTAATTTTACTTCTCAGGTACACAAAATACCTGACTAGAAAGAACAATTTTTAAATACAAACTTCTCGCTCCCCTCTAATGATGCCCTTGAACCGCAGGGGTCCCTAGGTAAGTGTGTCAACTGACCTCCTCTCTGCTTTCTGGCGTGAAGCGAACAGGTTTATGAGAAAAGCTGGGACCTAAAACCAGACTTAACTGGTGCACCTGCTAAACACCATCTAACAGAACAAGCAGAGATACCACCCAAAAAGCTGAAGACAGACAGGACACCTTTTGCCTAAACCTCCTATTGCTGCTTCTGCACTTAACACTGAAAGCAAATATAAAAGCTAACATACACCTAGTAATGGTCATTGGGGTACAAAAGCGTTAATTTGACCCAGTAATTTGGAGGGGAAAATTAATAACGGGTTCTACAACAATTCCATATGGATTTTATGAGGAGAAGTATAAAACCAAATTGTTTTAAACCCATTTAAGAAAAATTCTAAATGTAAAATCCCCAAGAGTCCCTTCCCTTGCTCATGCCCTGCTCCTCCTGTCCTTTTACTTCCTACTCCTGGTTTTGGAGTAGGGAGCAGCCATAGAAACCAGCATATACAGAGCAGACATCAACGACAGAGTGAGGAGGAAAAGCATCGCTGCACAGTGTGCATCAGGCAGCACAAAACCAGAGCAGCTAAAATACAGTCCAAGCTCCACTAGGAGGATCTCTGGGAGACCATCCTTTTGCTAATGATTAATGGAGAGAGGTCACATGTTACTGCCTTAATCATCCCCTGGCATGAGGGTAACCACATGATGAATTAAACGAGACCCAAAAAACTGCATTTTTAACCTCACTCCTGCTAGGCTACACCACCTCAGGTGCTGAAGTAAAGGAAGAAAAACAAATTGTAAAGTTTTTCCCCCCAAGATTTCTGCAGATTTCAATTCTTCACTCATACATTGCCATCAACCTCTTCCTGCCCGACACCGATTGCTCCCCACTCGGCTTCACCGGCAGATGAGTTCCCATCCGATTACACCACCGTAGGAGATGGACTCAGGCCAGTGATTCATCTGATTCTAAGTATTTTCTGTGTTTCTGAAGACAGATTTCCTTTTCTGTCCACTTCCTCCCCTGATGTGATTCTCAGTGCAAAATTAATATTATCGAATTAATATTCTTGTATTGTTACCTTGCTGTATTAAAGCTGCCCCCAACTGTTTCATGTCAGCCAACATGCATTTCATTGCCAGAGGTTGTGGTACTTTATAGCTACAGCACAGGCCCACTCACATAACTGCTATGTACCTCGGAGTTTGCTCTTTAGCTCAGGAGCAAATCAGAAGGGTGCAGATACATGACCATTGTTCCTTGCACACTTGTCAGTGAGAATTACTTTTCTTAATTAATCAGAATGGATTTTCGTACAAAGGTACCTGCGATTGATTGCATTCGACTCTTTTAACAAAACAACACAAAACTCTGGTTTTGTCCTAATCTCTTAAATTAAATTTAAAACACACCAAAGAATAAAAGTTCTTTTAGCTGTGGAAAAAAATCCCAGTTTCAAAAAGCAGTTCTCAGTTCTACTAGGAACTGATGAAAATAAAATTAAACCATTACTTACTAGAGCTAACAAATGTATTTTGTTTGTATTAGTCACGCAAACATTTTTATTTTGAAGGACTTTTAAAATTCATTTGAACCTTGTCAAACCTTAATAGCTGAGAGCGAAAATTTTCAGGTCTTACTGTTGTCCAGCTGATTTAATAAACCGATCAAAAATGACACCAGCCACTTAAATACAAAAGCAGTAATAGTTATATTATTACTTTTCTGCAGTAATTTGCTCCATGTTCCACCAAAAGCAGAAATTTGAAAGTTGATGCAAAGTGCAACTGCAAAGCAGGCACCTGTCTAGGGCTCAGGGAAAATGAACGTGGTTCGATATAATGCTTTAAGACCCTACTTTACATTGACGGTCTAATTCCTCTCTAGTGGTGGTAGTAATAACAGAAAAGAAAGAGAAGCCTTCCGTTGTTCTCTTGCCAGTGGCTTTTCAAGGGTTTGAAAACTGTGCTAGGAAAAAAGTAAGTTCCTGCAAGTACAGCTAGAACTGATACCTGTGCGATGTGAAAGTACACGTGCCAGGAGATGGCATCCTGTCAGAGCCCTTCCAACTTTTAAGTTAAAATGAAACAAAATAAAAAGACTCCCCCAAGGTTCTGTTCCAGCGTGTACGTTGTTTAGTGCTCTTGGTCTAGAAAGTTGCTTCACACAGTCACAGTGTGAGACACTGACTGTGTCGCTCAGGTTTTCATTTGGAGACTCAAGCATGTCTGGCAGTTTTTCCTGGGCCATTCCCTTCGCCCGCCTAGGGCGCACACAGTTCGTGGGAAGTGGGATGTGTGTGGGACCTCTTTGTTGGCTTCAGACACCACTATATTCCATTGCCCTGGGGGCTACCTGCTGGTGGGGCAGTCTGATTGAAATAAAATCTCTGTTGGAACCCTCTTTTCATAAAAAAAAAGTCTTATTAATCCGCAAAAACATTACTGCAGTGATGAAGAAGTATCTGCTTCCTCTCAGATCGCTGCCCCGCTGATCCTGGGACCTTGGTAGCACAAGTACATGGGCAATAAATGTCAGCAGCACTCCCATGCTGTGAGGCATCTCAGCAGATCTCCGTAAGGAAGTAAGATCGTCGTGAGGCAGTATTTGGCTGGGAAGCTGCTTAGAAACATCTCAGTAGTCATCTGCTTCGGGAAGGGTAATGGGTGATTCAGCAACCCGGGCAGCGCTCTCCGACCTGCATCGCTTCGGAACAAGAAGGTGGGACCTACCGGCTGGGATGCAAAGCTAAGTCCTGTTGGAGCCTCTTAAAGATCTGGTGCCAACCTTTAGGAACAAGAGCGTTTAGCTCCAGAGAGTTTGTGCTTCTCCTCGCAACTCTGATAACACAGGACAGCCTGAGTTTCTCCAGATTTCACTGGATGTATCGTTTTTAGCCAACAGCCGTGCCATGTAATGGCATGAAGTGTAGTACACGACTTCTGTATCCCTCTGTAAGTTGTCTTAGGGGAAAGCGTCATACCTGCTGCGCTGCTAGAAAATGATTACAGGACATGAAACATTTATTTGGGGTAAAGTCTCCCTCTCGTGATACGATGCCACGGTGCCAAGTGCGAGGGTTGCTCCAACCCTGAGGAGGGCCTTGAGAAGCAGCTGTCGCAATACAAACTGCGGCCACCATCAATATGACTCAAACCGGTGTCAGATCCCCGTGTCTGTCATTTAGATGACCGGCAGCAGCATAAATTATAGGCTGTGTTGCAGGAATTTCATGTTCGCGGTTGCTTCCCAAGGTGTGTATCCAGGAGGAAAGAGCGGGAGTTCCTCTGGAGTTGAGCACTCAGTATTGCATCTTCAGCTCCCTGTGACACAGCAGCAAATCAGCTAAGGCCAAAGGCAGAAGCGCGGCTCTCCCGGCTCCCTCAAGGAAGGGGTGGCCGGCTTTATGAAACGGGGCGCGAGGCCCAGCCAGGGTGCACAAACGGGGCGCGACACCCGGCCAGGAGGGCTGCTACGCAGTGCTAGCGACGGCAGGCTGGCACGTACGGCCAGCCCAGATGTGCGAGTCCAGCCTAGACGCCTAAGTCCAGCCCAGATGTGCAAGTCAGCCTAGACGTGCAAGTCCAGCCCAGATGTGTACGTAAGTCCCGCCTGAACAAG